AGTTCTTTGACTACTCAAGGGCTTTTGTGGTTGCATATAAGTAGGCGTGGTCTTTTCTACCACAGGAATCTTGACAAGGACTACATTAACTCTATAGATGGTTTTTGGTAGTACTGGCAATTTAACAATATTAATTCTTCCAATAAATAAACATGAACTACCTTTCCATTTATTTGTGTCTTCAGTTTCTTTCATCAATGTCTTGTAGTTTACCACGTAGAGATCTTTTTCCTCCTTAGATAAATGTATTCATACATATTTTATTGTTCTTTGTTAAAATGTATTATTAACAGTATTACAGATGTCCACCATCTTCCTCCTTTGTCCCCATCCACCTAGGCCCCGCCCCGCCCCACCCCAGGTTTTCCCCACACTATTGCCTGTATCTATGGGCTATGCATATATACACATATGTTCTTTAGTTCATCTCTTCCTATACCATCCACACCATCCCACCGCTGAGATCTGTCAGTCCGTTCCATGCATCCATGCCTCTGGTTTTATTTTTTGTGTCAGTTTATTTTATTCATTAGATTCCACATATAAGTGATATCAAGTGATATTTGTCTTTCTCTGGCTTATTTAGCTTAGCATAATAATCTTCAGGTCTATCCATGCTATTACAAATAGCAAGCACTCCTTCTTTTTATAGCCACAAAGTATTCCATTGCGTCAATGTACCACAGCTTATTATCCTTCGATTTTATTGTTCTTGATGCTATTGTAAATGGAATCAATTTCTTTATTTCTTTGTCCGAAGTTTTGTTGTTAATGTATAGAACTGCTATTGATTTTGTGTCCAAACCATTAGCCGTGTTTTTATTTTAAATCTGTATGTACCTAGTAAGTTCAATATATGTAAAAATGTAAAGAAGTAAGTAATCATAAAGGGAGATTCAAGTGATTTTCTCTTACTTATCAAAGAAGCAGGTACATCAGAAATACTATACAAAGTTTTAAACAGACAATTAACCAGTTCACATACACACATATACACACACTATATATATATATATAATATATATACTCAATTTTTTAAGTTTACATGAAAATATTAAAAAATGTACTGTACTGTATACTTATATTTCCAAGAATGTTATTATAAAATATATAAAACTGTGGTATAACTGCAGTAGCCACTCACCAAGTTGGGCAAGTAAGTACATAAAATATGGGTATTCAAATTTAAATTCGAATTAAAAATAAATAAAAATTTAAGATAGGTTTCCTTTTCACACTAGCCACATTTCAAAGAGATGCAGAACACTTACAGCTTCACAGGAAATAGTTTCTGACAACAGTTTACCAGAAATAACCCAAAATTTGGGTCAATAACCCAAAATTTATAAATTCTTACATGGTTTTAAACTCAGTAATAAATTTCTAAATAACATAGGGGCCAAAAAACTGATCACAATGAGGTCACAATTTTTATATGAATTACAAGAAAAATATAACAGCAAAAGTCTGTCTTGTGAAATATTGATTGCCTAAATACATATATTATCCCTCCCCCCAAAATTGGTACATTTTCACAATAGAATACTATGTGGCTGTAAAAAAAAAAAAAAAAAAGCAGGCACTCTTACTTTTTGTGACAGCATGGTTGGACCTAGAGATTATTATACTAAATTAAATAAGTCAGTCAGTGAAAAATAAATACCATATGATCTCACTTATATGTGGAACCTAATGAACAAAATGAACTGACAAACAAAATAGAAACAGAGGCATGGATGAACCGACTGACAGCAGTCATAGGGGAGGAGGGACAGACAGACTGAATAAAGGAAGGTGAAGGGATTAGCCAAAGAACATATAGGCATAACCCATAGGTGCAGACAACAGTGTGGTGATAGTCAGAGAGAAGGGGCAGGGGGTGAGGACTGGGTGGAGGTGGGCAAATGTGGGGGTGGGGGAATGGGGACATCTGTAATAGTGTAAACTATAAAAATAAAGTTAAAAAAAAAAGAAAGAAATCCAAGCATGCATCTCAAGAAACTAAAAATGGAAAAGCTAAAATTATGGAAAATGAAATCCAAATGAAGACAGAAATACACACAAAAAATAAAAAATCAAGAAAAATAACAAAATTACAGGAGAGAGGATCAACAAGGTCAAAGTTATCCTCATTGATAATTATAAAATTGATAGATGACTGTTGTAAAAAATTACAAAAGCACATATCTTTTATATCTAGAATATGGAAAAAGCATTATCATATTTAACAATATTAAGCAGATAATAAAGCCATATTATGAATATATTTTAACATCTGTCTTAAATAGAGAATTATGGAAATGTAGTGCAAAAATACAAACCTCAGTACATCTGGCATGCATTACAGGAATTTAGTTCATTTTATAAACTTTCCTACAAAAGCATTCTTTAAGCTCCGATGGAATCAGTAGTGAAAATAACATTGAAAATATACCAGTACTCTTATACAAAGGCTTCCAGGTAATAGAAAAAGAGGAATGCCTTCCAATATTGCCTTGATATTAAAATGTGTCAAGTACAGCCCTGGCCGGTTTGGCTCAGCGCTTAGAGCGTCGGCCTGCGGTCCAGAGAGACCTAGGTTCAGTTCCTGCTAAGGGTGCAAACATCGGTTGCAGTTTGTCCCCGGCCCTGGTTGGTCATGTGGGTGGCAGCCACTCGATATGTCCCTTTCACGTCGATGTTTCTCTCTTTCTCTCTCTCTCTCTCTCTCTCTCTCTCTCTCTCTCTCTCTCTTCCTCCCACTCTGTCTGGACAAAAATGAAAAAATGTCCTCAGGAGAGGATTAAAAAAAAATGTGCCAAGTACATAACATAAATAAAAACTCATTCTAAACTTTTTGTGAATGTGGTTGAAGAAAAGCAACTGAATCTAAGTGTAATATATGCACTGAATTTTAAACTACAAACGATCATTGATATTTTATTTTAGAAATGCAAGATTGGTTTAACATTTGAAAGAAATAAAGGTAGTTTACTTTATTAACACTATACGCAGAAAACATTTATAACTCCAACTGATACAAAAATAATAAAAACGTAATATCAATTGATTATTAAATCTATTAGAAAATAACAATACTATGAAATTGCTTTACTATGAGAAAAGATTGATGAAGTAACTTTAAAACAAACTCATACTTAAGGATGAAACGTTTAGTATTTTTTCCCCAAATAGAGAAGGATACAATTACAACTTTTACCATCTTCACTATCAACACTGGAAATAAAATCCTAGCCTGTGAGAATAAATCAAGAAAAAAAAAATTGCAACCAAGAAAAAAGAAGTAAAATAACTGTTTGCCTTTTGACCCATGGATCCCACTTCTGGGCATATGTCCTAAAATACTGAAACGCCAATCTTAAAGAATATATTCACCCTTATGTTCACAGAAGTGTTATTTACAATAGCCAAGATCTGGAAACAGCTCAAGTGCCCATCAGTAGATGAGTGGATAACAAAAGCTGTGGTACATTTACACAATGGAATACTATGGAGCTGTAAAAAAAAAAAAAAAACTTTTGCATTGGTATGGGTAGACCTGGAGATTATGTTAAGTGAAATAAATCAGTTGGTAAAAGGCAAATACCATATGATCTCACATATATGTGGAATATAATGACCAAAATAAACTGATGAACAATATAGAAACAGAAACTTGGATACATGGAACAGACTGGCAGCTGTGCAGAAAGGAGGGGAGATGGGATGAAAAATGATGAAGGGATTAGCCAAAAAACATATATGCATAACCTATAGACACAGACAACAGTGATGGCCGGAGGAAAAGCGGGTTAGCAGGGGAGTTAGGCAAAGGGGGAAAATTGGGACATCTATAATAGTGTGAACAATAAAAATAAAGTTAAAAAATAACTTTATATAAACTATTCAGATGAACATATATTTGAAATGATAAAATTAATACAAAAAATCAACATGTAAACCTTAATTGTATTTGTATTTGAAGCAACAAAAATAACTATAAAGAACATTTTAAAATAAGTATGCCATTTACAAAGTCATGACTATGAATTACTCATATTTCTTTAAAACTTTAATACAGAAACATCCAAAATATAGTAGAGAAATTAAAGGAAACTTAATACATGGAATGATAAAGCATGATATTGATTGGAAGAGTCGATATTGTAAAATGACTAATCAGTATAAATCACTTAAGTTTCAGTGCAGTCCCAAACACAACCCCAAGTGATTTCTTAATGGTTTTATTGAGATGTCATTTATAAAGCATAAAATTTACCCATTTAGAGTTATATATACCAGTGATTTTTAGCATATTTACAGAGTTTGCAACCATCAAAACTTTAAAATTTTTTTCAATTTAATTTTTATTATTTTAATTAATTTTTGTTACAGATGTTTCTCCTTTTCCCCCCATTGACACCCTCCTCCCGATCCTGCCTGTCCCCTCACAGCATTGTTGTCCATGTCCATTGGTTATGTTTATATGCATATAAGTTATTTGGTTTATTTCTTCCCTCCCTCTAGCCCCCCTCCTCTAAAGTTTGTCAGTCTGAACCCTACTTCTATGTCTCTGGGTCTATTTTGTTCATCAACTTATATTGTTCATTATTCCACATTTAAGTGAGATCGTGTGATATTTGTCTTTCTGTGACTGGCTTTAGACCCCAAAAGAAGCAGTCTACCAATGAGCAGTCATTTCCTATTTCCACGTGCCCTCAGCCCTTGGCAACCAGTAATCCACTTTCTGTCTCTGTGTGTTTGCCTATTCTTGATATTTCATTGACTCACACAACATATGATATTTTAGAAAAGTTGGATGCCACAAATATTATGTTGCACAAAAAAATACCAGGCACTAAAAATAATGATATTTGTACTTTTGGATGTGTTTAGTATTTTCCAATAATTGTTACAGAAAATTTTTTGACATTATTAGAAAAAAATAAAATAATTCACTTGGAGACTTATGTGATCATAATATAATACATCTATTTCATGAAAAATAGAGTTACCCAACAGAATCCAAACTCAGGTGTTTTCATGGTAAAGCTTATGCTTGCAACTATACATTTTTTGAGATTCACAAATGCTTGATGAGAAGCCATTTGAGATTAGCAGGGCACAGTGATCATTACCAGATGATGAGTCTGATATCCTGTGATGGAGAAAAATGCATAATTTTGTTGTTATAGTGTATGAGGACAATCCAGGAAAAAATAAATAACATTTTCATGTAAAGGTAATACAAGTATATTTTGAAAATGGATATTGAGGACTAGGCTGAGAAGATGACGGCTGGCAGGACCAGAGGAAGGGTGAGTGTGTGAGAGAGTGAGCAAGTGTGTGAGAGTATGAGTGGACATGAAGGTAGACAACCAAACCCCAGCAGTGCAGAGCCACAGAGCAGATAGTTCCTGTGTGGACGGGAGCAGCCGGATACCTTGGTAAGCTGCCCTTCAGGGCCCTTCTCCCTGCACTGCCAGGAGGTCCCACCATTTTGGAAGATCCTGGGTCTTCTCTGGAAGGAGGCAGTGGGAACGGCTAGGGCCCAGCAACCTGAGCCCAACAGCGCACCTGGCACCATTGGACCAGTGGACACTCTGTGTCAACTGAAACCAGTGCATAGTAGTGGAGCTCCCAAGGCACTGGTTTCAGAAGCCACAGATAGCCGGAGCCCAGCATCATCCCCCATAGTAGCAGTAAACAAAGCAAACAGAATCGAGATATACTACCAGCAACAGAGGCTGGGGAGCAGACATCCATCCCCAGGCAACAGAAGCACAGACAAGCAGCTGACACCCATCCCCAAAAATTACAGCAAAAGCTGAGAAGGAGTTGAGCCCCATGGGGCAGCAGCACTCCCCAGCCTCCAGCTGCGGGGGACCTGGGGCTCCGCAGAGGCCTGTGCAGTCCAGTAGCCCACAAGAGCAGTGGGAAGCCGGAGCCCAAGAAAGACTGTTGCCATACAACTGCCCGCCTGCAGAACCTGCGGGGGGCGGAGGGGGAGTGCACCAGAGAGGCCTGTGTGACCCAGCAGGGACTATGCGATCTAGTTACCCACCAGACCTGTGGGGTGCCAAAGCAGCAGAGAGGCCTGTGTGACCCAGCAGGGACTGTGCCATCCAGTTAACCATGGGACCTGTGGGGTGCTGAAGCACTACAGAGGCCTATGCAACCAAACAGCCCATAACATAGGCACAGAGCCATGTCCCCAAAGGGACTGTGCGATACAGTTACCTGCGGGACCTGTGGGATGCAGGGGCACCAGAAAGGACTGTGTGACCCAGTTGCGTACAAGATAGGCTTAGATGATGTGAAAATGGAGGCAGAGGGAATAGAAGCTACACAGAGGATTTCCCAGGACCAAAAGAGAATTACAACTAAAAGACAAATCCTTGGAAAAAAGCAACAGCAAATCAGCAGAACAGGACCATATAACCAGAGACACTGGTAGGATCTGCAGAGGTGCGAGAGGGTGGCAGGCTAGGAGCCCACAAACAACAGCAGTCTTAGCTGTAAGTAGTGCCCTTGGGGAATAAAGACCAAGCCTACTCCAAAGCGCAGAGAGCCAGGACAGAGCGCTAAAATAGCCATAGCCACTCACCTGGGGGCTATGGCAGAGGGAGGGCAGACTGGGCTGGAACTCTGTGGGGACACCCAAAATTTGGAGGGCACTCACAGTTTTTGCTGATTTGCGGCCACAAAGGACAGTGGCCAGAGTGCTCCTTCCCACAGCTGTGGGGAAAAGCAGCAGCACCTTCCCCCACCTCAGACATTCAGCCTTTCCAGGTGAGCCTTAATGAAAATTGAGGCTCATTAACAACCAGGATCTATCTCACCCTCTGGAAATCCTCTTATGCAGAACACCAGGGCTACATTTCAAGGCACTGAGTAACTAAGACTAAGAGCCACCAGGAAAATGCTAGAGGATAACTGAACCTTTCCTGGGCTTGTAAATCTACCCAGGAAAGTAAGACTTGACAGTGGTGTTTAACGTGGGCTCATCCAAGCTCATCCAAACTCAATAGAGGGAGCCACAAACAGCAGAACACCAACACCCACAGGGAAAATTTGGCAGGTTCCAAAACCCACTGAGATAGCCAAAATGGTGAAACAGAGAAACAAATCTCAAATGAAAGAACAAGAGAACTCTATTGAACATGAGATCAATGAAATGCAGCTGAGCAAATGATCAGAAGTAGAGTTTAGAGCCATGATCTAGAGGAAGATCAACAACATGAGTAAGGACATCAGCACCATAACTAAAGATATAGAAACATTGAAAACCAACCAAGTGGAAATGAAAAATGACATAGCAGAAATTAGGAACACATTGGAAGGACTAACTATAGAGTAGAGGAAGCTGAGGACCGGATCAGTGAATTAGAAGACAGGGTAGAAAAAATCAACGAATCAGAAAACGAAAAGGAAAAAACAATTTAAAAAAACAGGAAGACAGCTTAAGAGAACTGCGGGACAACTGGAAACGTAATAACATTTGCATCATAGGTGCCCCCGAAGAGGAAGAATATGGGCAAGGGTTAGAGAATATATTTGAAGAAATAGTGACAAAAAAACTTTCCTAAATTGGTGAAGGAAGAAAGTATTCAAGTTTAAGAAGCACAGAGAGCCCCCAGTAAGAAGAACCCAAACAGGCCCACACCAAGACACATAGTAATTGAAATGTCAAAAATTAAAGACAAAGAGACAATCCTAAAAGCATCAAGAGATAAAAACAGGTTACCTAAAAAGGAAACCCCATAAGGCTCTCAGCTGACTTCTCAACAGAAACACTATAGGCCAGAAGGGAGTGGCATGAAGTAATCAAGGTCATAAAAATCAAAGATCTGAATCCAAGACTACTCTATCCAGCAAGGCTATCATTCAAAATAGAAGGTCAAATAAAGAGCTTCCCAGACAAAAAAAAAAGGCTAAGGAAATACATTAGCACCAAACCAGCACTGCAAGAAATGTTAGAAGGATTGCTGTAATTAGTAGAAGAAATAGGAAGAAAAATAGAACCACACTAAACAAAAATGGCAATAAATAAGTACGTATCAATTATCACCTTAAATGTGAATGATTTGAATTCTCTGATAAAAAGACAAGAGTAGCTGACTGGATAAGAAAGTATGACTCACATATATGTTATTTATAAGAGATCCACCTCACAACAAAAGACTCACATAGGTCGAAAGTGAAGGGATGGAATAAAATCTTTTAAGCAAATGGAAAGGAAAAAAAAATTGGGGTAGCAATACTCATATCTGATAAAGTAGATTTCAAAATAAAGGCCATAACTAGAGACAAAGAAGGCCACTACATAATATTGAAAGGATCTATCCAAGGAAGATATAACGTTGGTAAACATATATGCACCCAATATAGGAGCACCAACATATCTTAAAAATCTTTTGGAGGACTTCAAAGGAGAAATCAACAGCAATACAATCATAGCAGGGGATTTCAATTCCCCGCTGACATCACTGGATAGATTATCTAGACAAAATTTAACAAGGAAACACAGACTCTAAATAGTGCTAGATCAAATGGATTTTATAGATATCTATAGAGAATTACATCCCAAAAGTAGAGAATTCACATTCTTTTCAATGCATATGGGACATTCTCAAAGATAGACCACATGTTAGGGCAAAAACTAAGTCTCTACAAGTCGAAGAATATTGAAATCATATCAAGCATCTTTTCAGATCACAATGGCATGAAGCTAGAAATCAATTGCAACAAGAACTTGCAAAGACATTTGAGAACTTGGAGGCTAAATAGCATGTTATTGAACAATGAATGGGTTACCATGGAGATCAAGGAAGAAATCAAAAATTTCCTGGAAACCAATGAAAATGAACACACAACAACACAAAATCTATGGGATGCAGCAAAAGCAGTTCTGAGAGGGAAGTTCACAGCACTACAGACCTACCTCAAGAAACAAGAAAAATTTCTAACACACTATCTAACCTCACACCTTAAAGAATTAAAAAGCAAACAAAAAGCAAACCCCAGAGCAAGTAAAAGGAAGGAAATAGTAAAGATCAGAGCAGATATAAATGACATGGAGACCCAAAAAACAATTCAAAGGATCAATGACAGAAAAAGCTGGTTTTTTGAAAAGATAAAAAAGATTGATGGACCCTTAGCTAGACTCACCAAGAAACAAAGAGAGAGAACCCAAATACACAAAATCAGAAATGAAAGACAGGAAATCATAACTGACACCACAGAAATACAAAGAATTGTTAACAAATATTTTGAACAATTATATGGCAACAAATTTGAGAATCTAAGAGAATTGAACAAATTTCTAGAAACACATAGTCTCCCAAAACTAAACTGAACTGGGAATAGATACAAAACTTGAACAGACCAATAACAACAAAAGAAATTGAAGATGTAATCAAGATTGTCCCAGCAAACAAAAGCCGAGGCCCAAATGGATTCACGGGAGAATTTTACCAAACATTCAAAGAAGAACTAATACCCATTCTCCTCAAACTACTGCAAAAAATTCAATAAGAAGAAAGACTTCCAAACTCATTTTATGAGGCCAGCATAATTCTAATTCCAAAATCAGAAAAACAAACTACAAAGAAAAAAAGTTCAGACTAATATCCCTGATGTACATAGATGTCAAAATCCTGAAAAAATACTAGCAAGTCGAATCCAGCAATACATCAAAAAAATTATTCACCATGACCAAGTGGAATTTTTCCCAGGGATGCAAGGGTGCTACAATATTTGCAAATCAATAAATGTGATACACCACATAAACAAAATGAAAGATAAAATCATATGATCATATCAATAGATGCTGAAAAAGCACTCGACAAAATGCAGCACACATTTCTGATAAAAACACTCAGCAATCTGGGAATAGAGGAATCATATCTTGACATAATAAAGGCCATATATGAAAGACCTACAGCCAACATCATATTCAATGGGCAAAAATTAGAAGCATTTCCCTTGCCTGGGCCAGTTTGGCTCAGCGCTTAGAGCATGGTCCTGTGGTCCAGAGAGACCTAGTTCAGTTCCCTCTAGGGGCATGTACTTTGGTTGCAGTTTGTCCCCAATACTGGTTGGGTCATGTGGGTGGCAGCCACTCGATGTGTCCCTTTCACATCGATGTTTCTCTCTCTCTCTCTCTCCGTCCCTCTTTATATCAATAAAAAAAATGGAAAAATGTCCTCAGTGAGGATAAAAAAAAAATTAAAAGCATTTCCCTTAAGAACAGGAACAAGACAGGGATATCCAGTTTCGCCACTTATTTAACATAGTACTGGAAGTCTTAGCCATAGCAATCAAACAGGAAGAAAAAATAAAGGGTATCCAAATTGGAAAGGAGGAAGTGAAACTGTCATTATTCGCAGATGACATGATACTATATAGATACTATATAGTCTTTGTAGAAAACCCCAAAGACTCCATCAAAATTTCACTAGACTTTATAACTGAATTTGGCAATGTAGCAGGATACAAAATTAACGTCAAGAAATCAATGGCATTCTTATACACCAATGATGAACTCACAGAAACTAGGAAAACAATCCTATTTACCATCATGGCAAAAAAATTAAGATACCTAGGAATAAACTTAACCAAAGAAATAAAGGACCTATTCACAGAAAACTACAGGTCATTGAAAAAAGAAATAGAGGAAGATATAAAAAAAGTGGAAGCACATACCTTGTTCATGGATTGGAAGAATTAACATCATAAAAATGTCCATACTACCCAAAGCAATTTATGGAGTCAATGCAATCCTCATCAAAATACCAACGACATACTTCACTGAACTAGAACATATACTTAAAAAGTTCATATGTAGCTGTGGCTGGATTGGCTCAGTGGTTAGAGGGTCGGCTTGCGGTCCAGAGAGACCTGGGTTCAGTTCCCACTAAGGGCGTGTACCTAGATTGCAGTTTGTCCCGACCCTGGTTGGTCGTGCAAGTGGCAGCCATTCGATGTGTCCCTTTCACATCGATTTTTCTCTGTCTCTCTCTCTCTCTCTCTCTCTCTCTCTCTCTCTCTCTCTCCCTCCCTCCCTCCCTCCCTCTCTATCTGAACCAAAAAAAAATGTCCTCAGGTGAGGATAAAAAAAAAAAGAAAAAAGTTCATGTGGAACCAAAAAAGACCTCGAATAGCCACAACAATCTTGAAAAAAACAAAAACAAAAAAACAAAGTTGGAGGGATCACATTTCCAGATTTCAGGTTATTCTTCAAAGCCACTGTAACCAAAACAGCCTGGTACTGGCATAAGAACAGGCAGATAGACCAATGGAACAGAATAGAAAACCCAGAAATGGACCCAAGGCAATATGCTCAATTAATATTTGACAAAGGTGGCCAGAGCATACAGTGGAGTAAAGACAGCCTCTTTAATAAATGGTGTTGGGAAAATTGGACAGCTACATGCAAAAAATGAAACTAAACCATCAACTTACACCATACATAAGAAAAAACTCAAAATGGATAAAATACTTAAATGTGACTTATGAATGCATAAAAATCTTAGAAGAAAATGTAGGCAACAAAATTTCAGACATCATACACAGCAGAATTTTCACTGATACATCACCTAAGGCAACAGAAACAAGGAAGAAAATGAACACATGGGACTACATCAAACTTAACAGCAAAAGAAACAACCACCAAAATGGAAAGGCAACAAACTCTAAGGGAGAACATAATTCCCAATGAAACATCAGATAAGGGGTTAATTTCCAATATATATAGAGTGCTCATACAACTCAACAAAAGGAAGACAAAGAACCCAATTTAAAAATGGGCAGAGGAACTAGACACCTTTCCAAAGAGGACTTACAAATGGCTAAGAGACATGAAGAAATTCTCAACATCCCTAATCATCAGAGAGTTGCGAATTAAAACAATGAGGTATCACCTCACACCTGTCAGAATGGCCGCCATCAACAAATCATCAAACAACAAGTGTTGGTGAGGGTATGGAGAAAAGGGGACTCTAGTACACTGCTGGTGGGAATACAGACTGGTGCAGCCACTATGGAAAACAATATGGTGTTTCCTCAAAAAATTAAAAATTGAACTTCCATTTGACCCAGTGATCCCGCTTCTAGGAATATACCCTAAGAAGCCTGAAACACCAAGAATATATGTACCCCCATGTTTGTAGCAGCACTATTTACAAGAGCTAAGATCTGGAAACAGCCCAAGTGTCCATCAGTAGACGAATGGATAAAAAAGCGGTGGTACATATACACAATGGAGTACTATGCAGCTGTAAGAAAGAAAGATCTCTTATCTTTTGAGACGACATGGATGGACCTGGAAAGTATTATTCTAAGTGAAACAAGCCAAACAGAGAAAGACAAGTATCATATGATCTCACTTATTTGTGGAATATAATGAACATAACAGTCTGAGGAATGGGGTAGTCTCAGAGACATGGAAGCGGGGTACAGACTGACAATCCCCAGAAGAGGGGGTGATGGGAGAGAGAAACCACAGAACTTACATGCATGTATGCATGAACAATGGACATGGACAACAAAGCTGGGGACAGGGCAGGGATTGAGGGGGAGGGCATATCAGTAGGGGGAAAAGGAGAAATATCTGTAACAAAAATAAATTAATTAATATAATAAAATTAAACTAAATTAAAAATGAAAAAATATGTATAATGATATTCTTCATATAATGTTAATAAGATTGGTTATTAGGGAGACTGGGTAGTTATTTAATATCAACATTTCATTGACTTTGAACATCATTTTTCATGTTTATAATTCGAGTTAAAAATGTATTAATAATACTCTTCTGAATTGTTCTTTTATACTTTTGCATTAAAAAAAAAACAACTTACTTTTTTTTGAAAGCTGAACCATTTGTCAACATCCAAGGATGATCACTACCGTTGCGATAGACTCCAATCCATAATGGAGGTGATATGGAATTCAGAAATTTCTATCCCCAAATAAAGAATTTTAATTTAAATAATCATTATAAAAGTTTGTATTAATTGTTTTAATGCAAGTATTGTTTCATAGGATCATTCATTTTGAGAATGAAATGAGTGTGTTGGATCTTAATATAACACAAAAGATACATTAAGATTTTTATTAAAATATATTGAAATCACTTTTCATAAAGTCAATAACTTCCAGCAATGTTTGTGCATTTTATTTAAAATTAATTCTTAAACATTTATATTTAGTGGTTTCATGCTTTTTCTTAGTTTAATAAAGAAAACTCTGATTCATGACATTTAGTAGCACCTGGGCTGACGAAACTAGCATAGCAAAGCTTTAAATGTTTCCAAATACTTATTTAAAGTATTTGATATCATGACTAAATCAATGTAGTTTTCTACTATGTTTCTCAGAGATCAGGTTTTTTAAAAAAAATAAGGGATTGTAATTAAGGAAATAAATGACATGAAAGCCAAAAATTTGTTTTTTTGTGTCCCACACTATTCTTTAACCAGGTAAGACCTGAATTGATCTGTTTCTGTATTGGTGAACTGTAACGGTCCAGACTCATGAGTCTCTGCTAACTATAAATATAAATTCTGAAACTGATGAAAGGTACAAGTAAAGGAGAACGCTGAAAGGTGGAAAGAGAAAGGGTAAAGGTTTGGCACCCCAGGATTGAGGAACAAGAGTGACAGGGTATCTCATATCCTTTCCCAACAGAAGAAGGTGGCTTAGGCCTGATGCTTCCCGATACCCAACCTAGAAATAGGAGGTGATTCAAAGAAGACATCCCTCCTCTGTGATACAGAGGGAATTCTGCCCAGAAACATCAGGCAAGCTTAAAAGGGTTATCCATCAAGATTTGTGTTAACAAAAACAATCAGAGGAAGTGCTTCTCCTTCCCCTAAAAGAAACTAGTGTAGGTGAGTTGGAGCTGGGACCAGCAAAGGGAATCTTATGACAAAAAGTAATGGATACAGCATGGCTCTTTATCCTGGAGGGCATAAGACACGTCCCCAATGAAAGGCATTTGATAGAATAAATTTTAATATGTTACACTCACATAACTCAACAGTGAAAATTAACAAGCTGCAGGTAAATGCAATATAGATAGAATGCAGCAAATATTGCACGGGAGTGAAAGGAGACAAGAAGAAAAGTGTATACTGTATAATTTCATTTTTTTGAGGTTAAACAAAGAGCCCCGGCCGGTTTGGCTCAGTGGTTGAAGCGTTGGCCTGTGGACCAGGGAGTCGCTGGTTTGGTACCCGCTAGGGGTATGTACCAGGAAAAAAAAAAAAAGAGACTATAATATTAAGTCAGCACAGTGGGTAAGTGATGAGGGAGAGGTAATAAGACAATACACAGGAGCAGGGCTGTGGAGGACTGCAAATTCTATATTGAGATCTGATTTGTAATAACATGGTTCTATTCCTTTTGTAATCAATCTGCTCTATTATGATATGTTTGGTTTCCTTGATATAAGGTAAAATTAAATAGCAAAGTTTATTTTTAAAAGCAAGCATTTATAGAATCACAGTTTTTTATGAAAAGTAAGACTAGAAATTAGCTTATGTGCATTAGTGGTTTAAAAAAACAATAAAATATTATATAGACTTTAAACTTTTTTAAAATTGATTTTAGGGAGGGAGGGGGGGGAGAGAGAGAGAGAGAAATATAGATTTGAGAGAGAAACGTTGATCTGTTGCCTCCCATAAGCACCCCGACTGGGGATCAAACCTGCAACCTAGATATGTGCCCTGACAGGGAATCAAACCAGTGACCTACTGGTGCATGAGTCAATACTCCAACCAATTGAGCCACACCAGCAAGTGCTATACAGACTTTAAATAGCTACAAATATAGCTCTGGCCAGTTTGGCTCAGCAGTTAGAACATCAGCCCATGGACCAAAGGATCACAGATTCTATTCCAGTTTAAGGCACGGTTTGATCCCTGGCCCTGGTGGGAGTTATGGAGGAGGTAACCAGTCAATGTGTCTCTCTCACTTGGATGTGTCTCTCTCACTTAGATGTCTTTCTCACATCAATCTTTCTCTCTCTCTCTGTCTCCCCCTCCCACTCTATCTGAAGATAAATGGGAAAATATCCTCAGGTGAGGATTTAAAATATAAATAAAACAAATAAATAAATAACTATAAATATGTACAAAAATATGGATGAATTCTACAAATGTAATATTGACTGAAACAAACAAACCTTTAACAAAGTGTATGAGAAATGTTTACTATCTTACCATTTCTTCTTCATTATCTATATAAAGCAGCTTAGAGTTCTTAGTAGTACAGGACAGCAAACTCTCATTCCATGCTTTATTTTCAGTACTAATATAATAGCAATTGTTGGAATATGTAAGCCACTCCTTTGGACAATGACCACAATGATTTGCTGAAGAAAGATTGTGAATTATTATACAATAACAATTTGAAGTTTAAAAATGAAAATGAACTTACATAATTGCATAGGTATAAACAGGTATATACATAATAAAGCTATGCATCCTTACAGGCTGGTACATATAAAACAAAACACACACACACACACACACACACACACACATACACACAGAAGGGAAAGGCTCTTATCCCCTAATTTATGTGCTCATATAAAGCAAATACACAAACAAAAATATCCACACTCTACAAGTCCTGAAAATCAATGTATGAAATCACTTTTTAAGAATAGTAAAATTATTTATCTCTTGTCATATTATAACAGTGTGAAGTTTGAGCCAACTGGCAAAAATGGGTATGATGATTTTAAATGAATATTTCTTTGTATAATTCTATTATAAGAATCACTCTTCTATAATCATAATTTATAAACATTTATAGCCCATTTTATAATTATGTTCCCCCAAAAAATCTATTATCACTTTTGCCCAGCCTAAGATAGAGACAAAATAAAAACTGTGCTAATATAAAAACTTTGAAAATTATGTACCTTTCTGGATCTTTGTATTCAGGGAAGAGTTGTTCTGCTCCAGTATTATAGTAGCTACAAAAATTAAAGTAATTCGTAAAATATTAACCTAAATAAATTATTTTTTTGTTTTTTACTTTAAAATGTGATATATTGTTTAGGATTAGAATAATCTGGAAAAAATGATTTTATAAAGAAAAGTTAATAAAGGAATAAAGATTTAGGGGAAATATTTCAAAAGTTTATAGGACCAAATTTCACCATCTCTTACAGTATTTGGTTTAACCAGTCTCAAAATAAATTTGTATTTTTCAATAAGATCTTTCAGTCTTCAAGCATATGTCCTGGAGTTATAAAATCAAAATATATGAATATATGTAAATATTCTCTACAATCATTTTATCATTTATGAGTTTAACAAATTCAAAATAACCATACCCTCTTTAGTTTAAAATAAAAGTTCTATTCCACAATATTATGAAGTGTTTAGGGGCACTGCTGATTATTAAAGTGAAAAGTTCCTTTATAATCTTTTAAATATTTATTTACAGGGAATAACAGCTATCGTCACCACAGTGAGCATCAAGACAAGGCAGATGATCCCTAGGACCCCAGCCATGAGCTTCTCTGGAGGTGATGGGCAAACTGCAGGGAGAGAAAAGAGAGACGGAGACAATTGGACAGTTTACACACAGAGAGAACCCATATGCACAGGGAATCGTATACATACGCTTGGATCCCAAAACCACATCTACCATTGTAATCTTCCTTTCAGAATAACCATTGCATTTTCAATAAATGTAATACTCCATGAGTTTTCGGTCAAAGAGTAAACTTTACAACAATTCTGAGTAAAATTAGTTCTCAGCTTTCATCTTAGAATACTGTATTCCAACTTCAAGCTCTGATTCTCACAAATGAAAAATATGGGAGCTTATTCCCTACTCTTTCCCACACCTCTGAATCCCAGCGGCATGTCCTAGAATGGTTACATTGTGTGTCTATTAAATGTGTTACCTTTGCCATGGTCATTCTTGTCATTCTTTTGAAGATCCTGAGAAGCATTTTGAAGATTTAATTCTGCATATGTTATTTCCTGCTCAGATACTAGAATGGAGCTGTTAGTGCCCTTAGGTTTCATTTGCTGTCTCTTTGCATATTTGGCCAAATTCAGTTCTGCGTAGGTTACTGTTTGGTTATTCATCTCTGGAGCTGGGTGGTGTTCGAGACTGTGCTCTAAGTTAAGTGACTTATGAATAAATGGTACATGCAATGAAGACATCCTTTTCAATAAAACTGGGTGGAGTAGAGCGTGACTATGGGGCTCATACCTGGTTGAAGAATCTAAAGTTCTGATTCTAAATTCCTTAGAAGTTTAAACAAGTGTCTCATGATAAAGTACATTTTTTTAAAGATACTCTACATTTGTTGATAGATTATTTGTTGGAGAAATAAAAAGACATAACTATTGAGGAATGTAGTGATACATGAATAATAATATCCTCATTCATTTAAAGTCAGATTCCACATAAATTTTTGACACCATTAGAATGCTTGTATTAAAAATTTAATGTTTTATTAGGAAAAAAGAAACAAAATATTTATGATAATATTGAAATCCAATAGTAAAACCAAGTGTTCTAGAGACGGAAAATAGTATTATTGGCCTATATATTAATTTCCTGCACTGAATTGTATTTATTAATGACCTAACATTTATTTATTGAAATGATTCCCAAAGGGTATTTAATTTGAATGGTTGAGTTCTGAGAAATAAGTTAAAATTTTTAAAAATATTTTATATGTTAGAAAATGTTTCATGACATATTAAAGTTATCTATAACCTAAAAAAAAATTTAAAAAGGACAACAAAAAAGATTTTTAAACAATAATTATTTTATAAAAGCAATTGATAATTGATTTAATGGGCATGATATGAACCCATAGATGATGAAGTATAGGTCATTTATAGAATAATATTGTTGCTAGAAAGTCACTTTAGTTGTTTAAGCATTTGCAATAATCCAGGTAATGTAATTTAATAATCCAGTCAATGGGCTCTCTAGTCAGAGACAGAAATTAATTATGACTTTGAAACTTATAATGTGTGACCTTTAAAAATTTACTTAGTGTCAAATAACTTACTAATCTACATTGCATGTAAAATTTAACACTCCACCTGACACAAATACTCTCAGTACATTTTAATTATCTTTATTATTTTAGTAACAATTCCATGTTATTATTTCTGATTCATATCAGTTATACCCTATAAAATAATTCAATAAGCAGGAGTCTCTTAATCAGTATGGTAGATCTTTTTTTGCAATGTTTGTTCAAATTTTTAAAAAGTACGTTGACTGTTTATAATTAAGTTTAGTTTAACATTTTACAGAATCACCTCATCTCGATTTTTAATAAAAATCAAGCTGCTTTTATTCAATCTAAGTAAACGCATAAGAAATTGTGCCTGGCCTTCATCAGACAATGAATTCTTTTTTAAATATCTATTTAGAAAGGTTGGATAAAATGTAAATTAACATATTATTATACAAAAAAACAAAAAACAAAAACCCAACAACCTTGTACTGGTTATAAAATCCAAAACTAATTATTTCTTGTCATAATGTTTGTGGGCTTCACTTTAAATTATTTTGACTTACAAACCCAATTATGCATCTGTGCATGCACTTGATTAATTTCTTAGAGACCATAATTTAAACACTAAGATATATTTTAACATAGTTCATATTTTATGGCTGCTTTTTACCCTGAATCATTCAAATAAAAACACCAATGTTCCACTTTTATTTTGTTGTCTATTAATTGTTCCAGTCGCATCGCATCTAGCCTTTTCGCCTCACTGTATGAGATGGGCTGGTAGAGAGAAAGGAGGGTAGGGACACATACCTTCTGTTCCGGCAGAAAGTCATGCATCCTTTCCTGGGGAGGCCAGGTCACTCTCATACAAGAGGCCTGCTATCGCTGGGTAATAAAAGGAAAACTTAAAAACATAAATTCAGGACCAAAATAAACAATATTTGTGACCTTTACAGACTGCACTGTGAAGGCTCAGAGTGAAGCAATAGTGGAAAAAGCACTATCAATGTGTCACGTAAGGTTTGAACAGGAAATTCTCACACTTCATTTTGAAATCAGTTTATCTCATCACACACCTCCAGAATACAGGAGACTCTGGGTTCTAGCGGAGAGGACAAAGACACCTCTAAGTATGTCATTTAGATTCTTCATTTTCAAATGCTTCTGAGAAACTGTTTTCATATTCCACAAAATGTGGGGGGACAGAGGCTTAATCACCCATGCAGTTAATTTCTTTCCATTTCAGTCACAAAAACTGGAAACTTATGTGTGTTAAGTTTCTTAAATTTAACTTTTAGAATGAGGTTGCTAAATCTTGGCATTAAATATTTCTTTTCCTCATCCCCTTATTATTTCATTTGTAAAGTAGAAAAAAAATTCTAAAAATCACAATCAATTATCAACAAGTATTTAATGGTATTTATCACCAATTATTCTAAGAAATTACCAAATTTTTAACTATATTGCACCTGGCACAAAGTCCATTCTCAAAACAGCTTATCTATTTATCTGCCCCAGTTCTGTTTCTAATTTTATTTTCAATTACAGTTTACATTCAATATTAATTTTGCATTAGTTTTAAGTGTACAGCATAGCGGTTAGACAATAATATAATTAACAAAGTGTCCCCCTCAATATTGAAAGTATAGTTAGGGTATATTGAATTAACAACTTTGAATGGAGGGAAGTGAAAAAAAATTAATCTTAAAAAAGATTTAAAAACAATGTATATTTGTAGTTACAAATAGAAAAAAAATACTAAATGATAGATTTTGACCCAAACGAATAATATTAAATATAAATAGAATAATTTTCAATTCAAATATGAAACATGTCCTCCAGGTATATCCATGTTGTCACAAATGGCAGGACTTTCTTTTTTCACACTTACATTTTTTAAATTGACTTTATTGGGATGACATTGGTTAATAAAATTATATATGTTTCAGGAGTACAATTTTATAATACATCATCTATATATTGTATTGTGTGTCCACCACCCCAAGTCAAGTCTCCTTCCTTCACTATTTATCCCCCTTTTACACTGTCCTACCCTCCTTTCCTTTTGGTAATCACCATACTGTTGTCTGTCTGTGAGGTTTTATTGTTTTCATAATTCCTTCACCTTTTTCACCCCACCCCCCGTGACAGTCATCCATCTGTTCTCTGTATCTATGAGTTTGTTTCTATTTTGTTTGTTAGTTTATTTTGTTCATTAGATTCTACATATAAATGAAATCATATGGTATGTCTTTCTCTGACTGGATTATTTCACTTAGCATGATACTCTCTAGTATCTGAAGAAATTCATAACACTAATTCGAAAGAATATAAGCACCCCTATATTCATTGCAGTGTTATTTATGTTAGCCAAGATTTGAAAGCAGACCAAGAGTCCATCAGTACATTAGGGAATTAAAAAAGCTGTGGTATATATACATAGTGGAATACTACTCAGCCGTAAAAATGAAGGCCATTTTACCTTTTGCAACAGGATTTCCTTATTTTTTTAAGTCTGTATATTATTCATTTACATATCTGTATGCATTTCTTGTTTTTTATCCATTCATCTTTCTGATACGCACCTTTAATATAAACATAGAAGAAAGATAAAAGTTAAAATAAAATATATTTCATGTAACACAAATCAGTAGAAAACTGCTAAAGTTATATTAATTTTAATTCATTAAAAATAAATAAAATTTAAAAATGTATTCCTTGGTTACATTAGCCATATTTAACTACCGATGTAGAACATTTCATCATTTCAACAAATTAACCACTGTGTACTTTAAATAAACACCACTGACAAAAATTTTGAAAATCTTTATATGATTTTAACTCAGTAATATACTGATAAAAAATATGGGCAGATTAAAAATTATAATGCATGTTCATAATTTAATATTAATTACAATATAAATATAACATATCAAATGTCTTTATTGTAAAATTGATTGTCTTAAATACATATATTAGAAAAAAAGAAAGCAGAATATCAATACCTGAGTATGTATCATAAGAAGTTAAAACTCAAAAGCAAATTAAATAAAAATAAAGTATATGGAAGAAAACAATAAAGATAAATACTTAATGACAAAAGCAAAAATTACAATAGACAGGATCAACAAAGCCACAGATTTTTCATTGAAAAGACATACTAAAATTGATAAATTCATTATAAAATAGTTGAAGAAAAAATAGAAGGCACAAGTAATTTTTATCTAGGAAGAAATATGAATACTTTTATAATTCTTAAAGATATTATACAATAAAATAGTTTTATTTATAAATTTTATTATCTATATGATATAGAAAATTCTTAGAAAATATAAATTACTAATATACAGTACAACAAACAAAATCTGAGAAGTCCTACATGTACGAAAGAAATTTAGTTTTTTTTATAAAACCACTTTATTGTGGCATGATTGACATACAAAGAACTACGCATACTTAATGTATACAAATTGAAGAGTTTGAAGCTAAGGATATACCTATGAGGTAATCACCAAAATTAAGTCCATAAACTAATTATCACCTCCAAAAGTTCTACCACGTTTATTTTTAAAAGTATTTTCTTCTTTTGTGGCAAGAGCACTTACCATAAGATCTACCCTCTTAAAAAACATTGTTGACCGCTCACGAGTTAACTCATGTTTTCATGCCCAAAGGTTGCTGACCGCTCATGAGTTAACTCGTGTTTGCACTTGCATTATTTATTTCAATTTTTGAAACTCAGGGTAATATAGGATTATTGTATTTGCGACTCTTCGCCCCGAGGGTTCAAAGTTCGAAAAGCAGCACAGCGTTCTTTATTCTTGCAGTAGCTAGGAAATGGATATCTGCTGGTTCAAATGAGTGCAGCTCAGAACCTAGCACTTCTGGCTCCTCACATTGATTCGCCTTTTAGGCTTTCAGGGCAACTAAAAGACCACTTTTTAGAAAAAATAGTCACTGGTATAAAAAAGAAAATCCAACTAGAACGTGTGAAGTTTGTGTTTCAAAAGGTGATTGCTATACAGTCTACCACACTAAAAAAATTACTAAAATATATAATATGTATAAAATATAATATATAGCAGATATGTACAAAGTTTCATTTAAATTCATTATGTATAAATAAAGTATACTGAAGTTTATTTAGATTGTTTCACT